ATCAACTGGTTACCTGAAGTGTTTGTACACTAATGCGAGAAGCCTGGGCAACAAACAGGAAGAACTGGAGGCTCTGGCCCAGTCCAAGAAATATGATTTAATTGGGATAACAGAGACTTGGTGGGATGACTCGCATGACTGGAGCGCTGTCATGGAAGGGTATAGACTGTTCAGGAAGAACAGGCAGAGGAGAAAAGGAGGAGGAGTTGCACTATATGTAAGAGAGCACTATGATTGCTCTGAACTGCAGTATATAGAGGAAGAAAAGCCTGTTGAGAGTCTATGGGTTAAGTTTAGAGGTGCAAACGACAGCAGTGATGTTGTGGTTAGTGTCTACTACAGGCCACAGAATCAGGTAGATGAGGCTTTCTTCAGACAACTGAGAGAAGCTTCTAGAATGCAGGACCTGGTTCTTCTGGGGGACTTTAATCACCCTGACATCTGTTGGGAAACCAATAGGGCAGTACACAGGCAATCCAGGAAGTTTTTGGAGAATGTTGGGGATAACTTCTTGGTTATCCCAAGTGCTGAAGGATCCAACCAGTGACTGTGTGCAGCTTGACCTTCTGCTTACAGACAGGGAGGAACTAATAGGGGAAGCAGAGGTAGGTGACAGCCTGGGAAGCCGTGATCATGAGATGGTAGATTTCAGGATCCTGACCAAGGAAGAAAAGAGAGTAGTAAAATACACACCTTGGACTTCAAAAAAGCAGATTCTGACTCCCTCAGAGATCTGGTGGGCAGAATCCACTGGGATGCTAACATGAAGGGGAAAGGAGTCCAGGACAGCTGGCAGTATTTTAAAGAAGCCTTATTGAAGGCACAGAAAGAAACCATCCCGATGCGTAGCAAGAGAGGCAAACATGGTAGGAGACCGGATTGGCTTACAGGGGAAATCCTTGGTGTACTTAAGCACAAAAAGGAAGCTTACAAAGAGTGGAAACTTGGACAAATAGTCGGGAATGCCAGAGGGTTATCAGGAAGGTGAAAGCACAAATGGAATTGCGACTGGCTAAGGATGTGAAGGATAACAGGAAAGGTTTCTACAGTCATGCTAGCAAGAAGAAGGTGATCAGAGAGGGTGTGCGGCCCCTACTAGATGAAGGAGGTAACGTAGTGACAGATGATGTGGGGAAAGCTGAAGTACTCAATGCTTTCTTTGCCTCTGTATTCACGGATACGGTGGGCTCCCGGACTAATGCTCTAATTGATGCAAGATGAAATGAAGATGGACAGCTCTTGGTGGGTAAAAACAGGTTAGGAACTATTTATAAAAGCTAAACATACACAAATCCATGGGTCCAGACATAATGCATCCGATAGTATTGAGGGAGTTGGCAAATGTCATTGAGGAGCCTTTGGCCATTATCTTTGAAAAGTCATGGAGATCAGGAGAGATTGGAAAAAGGCAAATGTAGTGCCCATCTTCAAAAAAGGGAAGGAGGACGATCCAGGGAACTATAGGCCAGTCAGTCTTACCTCGGTTCCTGGAAAAATCATGGAAGGGATCCTTAAGGAATCCATTTTGAGGAACTTGGAAGAGAGGAAAGTGATTAGGAATAGTCAGCATGGATTCACAAAGGGCAAGTCGTGCCTGACCAATCTGATTCGCTTCTATGATGAGGTAACTGGCTCTGTGGACGTGGGAAAGTCAGTGGATGCAATATACCTTGACTTTAGCAAGGCTTTTGATACAGTCTCCCATAATGTTCTTGCCAGCAAGTTAAGGGAATGTGGATTGGATAAATGAACAGTAAGATGGATAGAAAGAGGGCTAGAAGGCCGGGCCCAGCGGGTAGTGATCAATGGCTCGATGTCAGGATGGTGGTCGGTTTCTAGCGGAATGCCCCAAAGTTGGGTTCTAGGACCGATTTTGTTCAGTATCTTTATTAATGACCTGGATGAGGGGATGGATTGCACCCTCAGCAAGTTTGAGGATGACACTAAGCTAGGAGGAGAAGTAGATACGCTGGAGGGCAGGGATAAGGTCCAGAGTGACCTAGACAGATTAGAGGATTGGGCCAAAAGAAATCTGATGAGGTTCAGCAAAAACAAGTTCAGAGTCCTGCACTTGGGACAGAAGAATGTCAAGCATTGTTACAGGCTGTGGACCAATCAGCTAAGTAGTAGTTCTGAAGAAAAGGACCTGGGGGTTACAGTGGATGAGAAGCCAAATATGAGTCAACCGTGTGCCCTTGTAGCCAAGAAGGCTAATGGCATATTAGGTTGCATTAAGAGGAGCATTGCCAGCAGATCCAGAGATGTCATTATTCCCCTTTATTTGGCTCTGGTGAGGCCACATCTGGGCTGTATCTACACTGGCATCCCTTCCGGAAAAGGGATGCTAATGTAGCACTTTGGAATAGGCAAATCCGCGGAGGATTTAATAGCAAATGGCATATTAGGTTGCATTGGGAGGAGCATTGCCAGCAAATCTAGAGAAGTGATTATTCCCCTTTATTCAGATGTGAGGCCACATCTGGAGTATTGTGTCCATTTCTGGGCCTCCCACAATAGAAAGGATGTGGATGCATTGTAGAGGGTCCAGCAGAGGATGACCAACATGGTTAGGGGCTGGAGCATATGACCTATGAGAAGAGGCTGAGGGATTTGGGTTTGTTTAGTCTTCAGAAGAGAAGAGTGAGGAGGGATTTGATAGCAGCTTTCAACCTCCTGAAGGGAGGTTCCAACGATGATGGAGAAAGGCTGTTCACAGTAGTAACTGATAGCAGAAGGAGCAATGGTCTCAAGTAACAGTGGGGGAGGTCTAGGTTGGATATTAGGAAAATCAATTTCACTAGGAGGGTGGTGAAGCACTGGAATGGGTTACCTAGGGAAGTAGTGGAGTCTCCATCCCTAGAGGTGTTTAAGCCTCAGCTTGATAAAGCCCTGGCTTGGTTGATTTATTTGGGATTGGTCCTGTCTAGAGCAGAGGGCTGGACTTGATGACCTTCTGAGGTCTTTTCCAGCTCTATGGTTCTATGATTCTATGAAGTCGCTCTATGGATGAGTCCTAAGTGATGACTCAAAAGTACATAAATCCCAGATCCACCCTTCTACAAAAGTACTTCATGTGACACCCTGGTACATTCCTCACTCCTGTGATATAATTCACATATTTTGCATAAAGTATGCCTTACTGAGGTATCAATCTAAAAGTCTTGATCTGCTAGACATTAATATCTCAATTGGATTGTATGTGCTAGCAGCGTATGTGAAGTGATGAAATTTGGGTATGTATGTGTTACTGAAACATATTGTGAGGTTGAAAACACCCACAAGCAGCCTTTCAGGTACAACAGTAAAAAGACCAAGCAATGTGAATGGCTTATTGAGGAAATGCCCACAAGCGCAAGGATTACTCCAGGAACTGCATATAATAGAAGTCTCTCTGAGATAACACAGCTTAATGGGAACTGTTTGACCCCAGTCACAGAAAAGAGCTTTCATGCAAATGGGAAGAATATATAAATGGGGGAAAGGGAAATGGCATCGTAATGATACCTCACTCTCCCAACAGCAACACACTGGGAAACACCTGAAGAACTAAGTGGTCCTGGGCCACAGGGATTTCTATCCTATGAATGAAACCCTGGGCATCCCAAACAGCAAAGCTAAAGCAGCTTGTGCCATAAGAATCTGCCAGCCTGTTTATCACTCAGGGTGAGAATTTGTTAATTCATATCCTACCTACCTCGTATGTTAAGCTCAGTTGGTGTTTTTGTTTATTTGCTAAAAAAAAATCTGCTCTGATCTGTTTGCTGTCACTTTTCATCACTTGAAATCCATCATTTTGCAATTAATAAGCTTACTTTACGTTTTAATCCAAACCAATGTGTGTTGGAATAAGGTGTCTGGGGAAAATCCCAATTTGGTTACCACAAGTGTACATCATCCTCTTCCAATTAAGAGAGGGAGGGACTGAGAATTAAACCCATACACTGGCCAAATTTGACCTGAGCAGGATGGTATTACTCTGGTGTTCTAAGCTGGGAGACTAGTGGTTAGTGAGCCTGAACATAACTGTAGCTGGGGGTGTCCCTACCTTTGTGAATATTGGTTAAAATACAAGCTTGAAGGGCTTTGAAGATTGTCATAAGAGCACAGTGAGAGAGGAAGCTCTCGCTGGTAGATCAGGGGCCTCAGTGGTAGCATTCCAGGGGGGTCAGGAAGCACTCCAGGGGGAATCTGTCACACTCACCATCTTTAAGGTGGCACCTATTATTCAAAAAGGTTTCAAGAATGCACGTAGGGTTGTTTAAAACAATTTAATAGTTGGAAATGTCTAAGACACCTCCTTAATGGAGATGGAAGGGGCAGGGTAAACCATAAAAATTGTGTTATTACAAATTTTTAGAAATAAGTTGAAAATCTAATGTTTTCTTCTCTCTTTTTTTCTATTTCTTTCCTCCCTTACATTATTTTTCTGTCCATTTCTATTTCCTTTCTTTCCCTTTTCCTTGTGCACTGCAATGACCTCTGGCTATTTCCACTTTTCTGCACCATTTACATGCACACATTATCTGGGGGGAAAAAAGGAAATAAAGTAAAAACCATCAGAATGCAAATGTATCTTAAGGCAACAATAATAAACATAATCTCTCTCATTTACCAGAGATTGTTGAAAGCTTTCTCTCTGCAATTTATTTTGCACCTTTACAAAACATAAAATCTTTGATTTGTGTTTGCTGTGGGGTGGCCATGGGGTCTTATTCTGTAACTCTTATTCATGTGAGTAATCCTTACATTTCTGAATAATAGTTTCATTAACTCCCCTGCTTTATGAAAAATTAACAAGTAAAAATAGCCTTAACATAGATCTCTATTACGATCATTATTTTGGGGACCCATCCCTGAAACATTCATTTCTATAATCTCAGAATAAGGGAGCCCAGAAGAGAAACAATATGTCAGAAGTGGCAGTTCTCCAGCACCCTCCTCCTGTATACATGACTTCTGCAAAATCTGCCTAAGAATGTCTCAGATCTGCCACTGATATTTATAAGAACTAGTCTGTGCATGAGCCAGATAACAACTGTAATCTTTTAGTCATTTAGTTGATATCAGCAATAAGGAACAATCGGAGATGGAACATGGAGATTCTACTGTGAGATGACAAGATTTAACAATGAGTGATTATAACAGTTCCCACTCTAAAAAAAATAAAATAAAAATGCTAATCTAATTCACACTTCTACTGGGTGTGGTTCATTGTATCATCCAGTGGCACTTAGGCCACTTACACATAGAAAGAATAAGTTTCTACTACAGCCTTAGCTGAGAGGCAGCTGGGTTTTAGCTCCAGTTATAGAGGCTCATGCACAAAGCTTCAGAGGTCCCAGATTTGGTTACACCTGTTGGTGTTAAACTAAATCCTGCTCTCTTACTCAGGAGCAATTGCCTTAGTTGCAAAGGGTATGTCTGTACTGCAGAGTTTTTTCAGAAAACTTCACTTGTGTCCACACTGCAATCACGTTCTTTCAAAAAAATCAAAAGAACAGAGGGATTTTTTCTGACACTGGTAAACCTCTTTCTACGGGGAAGGAGCCTTTTTCTGAAAGAGCTCTTTCTGAAAAAGCCGTGTGTGGATGAGGAAGAGGGAGTTCTTTCAAAAGAAGAGGAAAGAGGAAAAAGTGCAGGTGCCCTGATGGCCACTCCATCCATAGTAATCACAGCTTAAATGCAAGATAGCGTCCATTCAGTGTGAACACTATCTTTCGAAAATCAGATCGCTTTTTTGATGCTCTTTTGCTGTGCTGTTCTCTTTTGGAAGAAGTTTTTTCAGAAGTTCTCTTCTGGACAAGCTTCTTCCGAAAGAAGCCTGCCGTCTAGACATAGCCAAAGAGTCCATCTGTAGAGCTAGATGGAGGGATCATTTTACAAAGATGGAAAAGCTAGACTGGAAGGAACACTATCGATGGGAACTTGAGGTGTAGGTGTGGTTCCATGGAATTCTGGAGGATTTGAGGGAAGCTGGGGATTTGAGTTTGATTTAGAATTAATCCACCCTGGCACATGCACAAATATAACTAAATTGCTAATGATATAAATCTCGTTCATACTTGTAGTGAGGTATAGTGAACATGGAGCTTCACACCTCAGTGAAAAGCAGCTGCATCCACACTCACTGTGGCGTATAGCTGCATGACACAGGGTAAATCTGTGGCAGAGGGGAAGCAGCAGAGAGACTCCAGTGGCAGGGAGTTTCCAGAGCCTTTCCTTATTTCTTCCCCACTACCAAAGTCTTTCCCCATGGCAGAGAGAGGCTCTGGCTGGGGGAGCTGCTGGATCCGTTCTCAACATGAAATCCACTGCTTAGAAAATAATGCAGTTTTTTGAAGAGTCCTGTGGTCTTAAAGATGTGGAGATCATGTACCCACCCTGATCCAGTAATCCACAAATGCTTGCATAACATGGACCAGTATCCCTATCTATGTACCAAGGTGGGCTGGTGCCAAAATAGGGCTATATGTGCCATCTATTGTTCTACTGAATTTCAGGAAGCCAGTTGCACTAAATCCATCCACTGCTTCTTGCACATTGGTGACAGCTGGTCTGCAACATAAGAGAGATCAGTATAAAAGAGCGTAAGGCTTATGTCGGTGCAGCGATATGACACAGTGTGTGGTAGACACTTTGTCTCTTACATCAGCTGTAGGCTGTAGTCAATTAGTTATGGTAGGGGTCATGGAACTGATAAGAAATCTGGGCAACTAAAGTCAAGGTGCCCCATTCTCAAGAGGAAAGTGGCAGCTGAAGATGACTAATAGTCAGCTGGTGAATGAGTGGCAGGTGAGGTGAAGAGGTGCAATAAGTGGTCAGCAGAGCAGAGGCTGTGAAGCATAATAAGTGACCAGCAGGGCAGCTGGTGAAGAGGCTTGGTGAGAGTGGTGAGTTTGTGACCAGACAGGTGGCTTCAGAGATGAGTCAACAGCAAAGTGGCTGGTATAGAGGCATAGTGAAAGCGGTGAACAGGCAAGGTGACAGAAGCTGTGAGCAGGTGAATGGCAGGTGTGACCCGTGAGTGGCCAGTGGGGTGGCTGGCAGAGAAGAGTAGTGAGCAAGTGCCCAAGCAACAAAATGAGTAAGGAACCTCTTAATCCCTCCCCTCAGGATGGGAGGGAAACTCTGCAGATGCACCTCTGAACTCTATCTCTGCACTCCACTCAAGTTGGTGCCCTTGGTGAACTTTTTGGGTTGTTGGACTTAAGAACCTGAGGGGGAAAGGACACTGCTCAATCTACTTGAGTGGGTCTTTTTTTGTTTATGAACCCTGTTTGCAGCGTATCCCCAGATTAATTCTAAGTTAGTTCCCTCCTTTTAAAGATTTCTTTTCTGCAACCAGACTCTACTCAGAGGTGCCCAGGGCTAGTGTGTTAGTTTCCCAGGTTACTGAGTGGGGGCTTGAGCCATATCTGTGTTGAATCAATGGAAAGGAATCCCTAAATATTGAAACTGGCCCTGATTGCTGCTGGCTCCGCTGACAGAAGCAGTACATTAGTGTGACACTTTCCATGGTGGTGCTTGAGGAATTTCCTTCTCTTTCTCAAGAAGTCTACATAAGCCTGTGACATCAATTACAGATCCAAACATTCATCAGGCGATTGAAAAACATGTGTACTCAAGGGATAGTCACCAGTGTTTATCACCAATATTACATTTGGACCCATCAGTTGAAGGAGACAGACACAGGGGGAAATGATTTAAACTCAGATATCTGCTGTGGTGTCTTTATTGTTCTAGCAACAAAGAGAAACAAAGAGAAGCAGGATTCAGCAAAGAGCCCCTGACTTTTCAAAGGAGTAGACCATCTCAAATACATCATGAAGAGACTTTTCTCCTTATGTCACTGGGAAATACATAAGATCAATTCAATGTTCAGTTTACTAATAATGAGCCCAATGCAGCTGCTTCTGATCCTTGACTTTATAAACCTGAATTCAGGCTATGTCCATGTTGAGATTTCACTGTCAATATGTAGATTGTTTCTATCAATGCTGGGAGTTATTAAATTCTTATATGGCCTCACTTCTATATAATGTCTTGTTATCTCATACAACAAACAGGCACATGATTTATTTGAGTATAGTATTGTGACATTCTTCTTTATCTCACCACTTCCCAAAATGTTCTCTCTGTTTGTATAACTTCTTCACATCACAGTGTGTTCTTTATAAATACTCATAAAATTTCCCATTTTAATGTCCATATGGTTATGCATTTCAGGTTTCATCTTTTATGCCAGCTGCCATGCTAAATATATCTACAATATCAATATTAATTATCTGTCATCTTCCTCACATATCACTTTGTTTTCAAGAAGTTTTTCACAACTTTTAAGACTCTCTTTTGACCTTACCTTTCATTCCTTGCTTGTCCCATGACCTAATTCTAGCATGCATATTTATAACATTCAATTTCTTGGTAAATTATATTCTTCTGAAGATAAATCAAACAATGCTAATAAAACAATAGCACAACTTTCAATCCTGGCCCAAATACCATACTGAGTTTACATGCAAAATTTCTGAATTCCTCCTAGGAAATTTCAAAATATAAAAATAATATATGTGTAAGGGTATGTCTACACTACAGCACTAATTCAAACTAACTTATTTCAAATTAGTTAATTTGAAATAAGCTAATTCGAAATAACACATCTAGACCCAAAAACTAATTCGAATTAGCGTTTTGCTAATTCGAAATAGCATGTCCACACTGATTGGATGCTGGGTCGCATTTAAGTGCAGCTGAAACCAGTTCCGGCAGGGCATCAGGTCAGTAGTTGCTTTGTGTGGCTGCTGTCTGAGGCTATCTGAGGCTCGTGCTTAAAGGGACCCCCCCCTGGACAGCCGGTTCTCAGCTTTTCCACTTGCTTATCTACCTGGGCAAGGGACAGCAAAGCGTTTTCCTCTCTGCCTGCCTCTGTTGGTGGTTCCCATTGGGGACGCCGCCACAGTTGGCACCATGGAGCCAGAGCTCGCTCTGGGCATTCTGCTCCAGTTTTTGGACTTGCTGCTACAAGCCTGCCAGCAATGGCTGGAGGCTATCTGGCACCATCAGGATGAAGAATGACACCTTCCTGGAACTCTGCAGATGGCTCATCCTTGCTCTGCAACAATGGGATACTTGCATGAGGCCCACCATTCCCCTCCAGAAGCATGTGGCCATGACCCTGTGGAAGCTTTCCATGCCGGACAGCTACCGATCCATCGGGAACCAGTTGGCGTGGGGAAATCCACCATCGGAGAAGTGCTCATGCAGGTACGGCACTCACCGGCAACTAGGCTGGGGGGAAGGGGAGCTGCAAGGAGGGAATGGGCCGCCCCAGGGAAAACGGGGGAAGGGGAGCTGTAAGGAGGGAATGGGTCACCCCAGGGAAAACGGGGGGGAGGAGGCAAAAGTGCCCCACACAGGAGGTTTCAGTCTGTCCCGATCATACTACATGTCGCCCACGGGGGGTTGCTTCCAGCAGTGGAGCGCGGGGCAGTGCCAGGGAACGAACACTCCCAGCCACCCATGCACCCCAGTGATTCGCAGTTTGGTGTGTCTCTCTGCAGGTGGTCAAGGCCATCAATCGGGTGCTGCTCTGCAGGGTGGTCCACCTCGCTGACCCAGACACGGTCATCCAGGGGTTCAGCGCCCTCGGATTCCCCAACTGTGGGGTGGCCATCGACGGGACACACATCCCCATCCATGTCCCAGAACACCAGGCCTCCCTGTATATCAACCGCAAGGGTTACTTCTGTGTGATCCTGCAGGCCGTGTCTGACCACTGGGGCCAGATCAAGGACATAAATGTGGGTTGGTCCAGCAAGGCACACGACGCCAGGGTGTTCCGCAACTCCTCCATGTGCCAGAGGCTGCAGGCTGGGACCTTCTTCCCCGACC